AGGGTATGTTACATATTTTTTTTTTCACAAAATTCCATCAGTACTCATAAGAATGGGCCCTCTTGTTGATCTAAGTAGATTAGGGTTGCCAAATTCAGCAGGTTAAAATATAGGAGACACAAATAAATTTGAAATTCAGATAAACAATGATTTTTGTACAGGTGTTCTATAAAATATTTAAAACATATCTGTACTAAAAAAATATTTTTTCCAAAGTTAATTGAGCAACTTTCATTTTATCCAGGAGCCCTAATGAATACCTGGACTTCTTAAATCAAGAGAATCTGAACCATGCATCTAGAGCAACCCTGAAAAACCACCAAGGTGGAACTGGGAGTTGAGGAGAATGTTTAAAGGGAATGAAAAAGCAATATCTACTTTCCTGGCTTGAGCAGGTTTCTTTTCCTTGCAATGAAAAAGGATTGACTACCAAAACATTGGTTTGTTTCAGTTTTCCTACCTTAAAAGATAGAGGAGTAATATACTGTTGTGAATAGAAAATAGAAACTAAGTATGAAAGTACTTTGTAGATTTTTACCTGGTGTTTCAAGGTAAAAATGAAAGATTGACTACATGCTCCCTTAGAAACCTTGCTAAAATAGTAGGAAAGGGATTATTAAGGCATCATCCAAAATATGCAGAGCATAGAACCCTAATGCAAAGAGGGTGACACCAGCAACAACCTTTAAGGAGCCAGGTAGGTGTATGTAGCTGTCTTAGACCTTCTAGACCAGACCAGCTAAAAACCATCAAATGGCCTTAGTCAACGAGAGCTAGAGAAGAAAAGTCTCCCAGTTAAGCCTTATTAAAATCCTTCATGAAGAAAATGATGAGAAATAATAAAATGTAAGTTGTTTTAAACCATTAATTTTGAGTAATTTATGAAACAATTCTGGAATGTATATTAGAATGGAGAATGGGATTGGTGTCATTAGGACAGTGGGCTCTTGGAGACACAGGTTGGAGTTCTTTTCTAATTAATCAAACTAGAGAAGGGTTCACCAGAATGGTGGCATTTTAGCTGGTCTTAAAAGTTTAATAGAAAACAAGAAGAACTTCAGATAGTGTATAACATAAGCTTAAGGAACTCCTCTTTTAGAGGGCATTTGAAAGTCCAAATGACTGGCACGCATGTCCCCCCCAAATTATGAGGAGACACAAGAATAAACTGAGAGGTGAAATACTAGGCAGTCATGGAAAAGAAGCATGACTACATCAAAAATATTAACTTCAATTCTAAAATAAGAATAGGAAAAGCACCACATTTCACAATACCTTTCAAATTTCATAATACCTACTGCAAGTTTTCCTTGACAGTGAAAACAGTTACTCTGAAATATTAATATGGGTATTATTGCTTTTCCTTTCTATGGACCACATTAGAAAAAAAAATCTTTCTGTTGGAACTGATAGAATGCCAACTGAAACCAGCTTAAGCAACGGGAGAACTTTATTGATTCACAAAATTGACCTTCTCTAAGAATTCAAATAATGCTTTCATTCTCTCTCCTTCCCGTGTATGTTGTCTGTTTTGTCTCATTCTTTTCTATCATTCAGAGGCCATGGATCAGGCCATGACTTCAGACAGGACTAAGATGTCCTTGCTTAGTAAACCAGAGTGAAGACAAAGTTTCTCTCCCCAGCTCTGCTTACTAATTAGTACCTAAAATCCCAGGAGGTCTCGGATTAGCCAGCTTGCTCACATGCCCATCCTTAATCTAACCATTGTCATCAGTTGACAGGGTATCATGATTTACCAATGCTCCAAAATGTGCACTCATACCGTCAGCTCTCTCAGCCAAACCAATTGTAATTAAGGAATGACAGATGGTTCCTACAAAAGGTTGGGACACAATGTTATAAATCAGAAACAGGCTGAAAGTATTCTTTTTTACTTTTTAAAAAAAAATAAGATTTCCAGCCTATGTAGATAATGGACTGACTTTGCAGAATTAGTTTGAACAATGAAACGTCACAGTTCTAAGGGCTGCATAACTATTCATTCCCACTGCCTTTGTTCCCCATTTCACCTCAGTCTAGGCTAATCAACTCTAGACTTAAGAAATCATGACCCTGGAGGAGTTTAGCAACTTGCCTATTGCACAGGTCAATGAATCGTCCTAGCAACACAGCTCACCATTTCTGCATTCCTGACATGTGTAGCAAAGAAAAACATTCAAGCAAGGATACGTACCTCTTGAGAATGCAAAATAAAAATATAGACAAGAAAAATAATGCAGAAAAGGGATAAATTTTCCACTCCTGCACAGCAGATTTTATTTCCAAACATCTCATTTCCCTCCCCAAAACTGCAGTGCAGATTTTGCAAACATGATGGGTTATATAAGTAGGATTATGTACTCTTCATGCAAACTCTGAAACCAGCTGTCCATCCGCCTTTACTTCTCAAATAGGAAAAGGGATTACTACCCAGCTCCAGCATGATACTGGATAGATATTGATAAATTCTGACTGTCTCATTTCAAGTTAGGAAGAAGAAAATATGTCTGAAATTTTTTATTCAGCTAGATTCTCTTAAGGAAGAGAATGGCATTTCAATTACGTGATTATGATTTTATAGTTACGTGTTCAGTGTGTATACCAGGGCTCCACACAATATATTTAAGTGTTATGGGGTTGTTTTACCCCAAAATCTAAATGTTGAAGTCTTAACTCCCCCACCTCAGAATGTGACCATATCTGGAGTTGGGACCTAGTTAAAATGATGATATTAAGGTTTGGCTCTGATCTAATATGACTGTGTCCTTATAAAAAGGAGAAATTTAGAGACAGACACCTAAAGAGAGAAAATGCTATGTGAAGATGAGGGAAGAGAGCAGAGTGATGATTTTTCAAGTCAAGCAACACCAAAGACCATCAAAAACACCCAAGGTAGGCTAAGGGCCTGGAACAGATTCTCTCTTACAGCCTTCTGAAGGAACCAGGACTGCCTATATTTCTGGCATCCAGAAACGATAGATGGCAAATTTTTGCTGTCTGAGCCTTCCAGTTTGTGATACCAGCCATAGAAAACTAATCCATTAAGCAAGAAATGTATCAAAAAATAAACAGAAAACATATCATCTCCAAGAACAAGTCTGATCTTTTATTATTGCATTCACCACAATCAAGAGTTTAGTCTGTTCTCCCCAGAGCAGATAGAAATCACAAATTGAGGAAATTGTCTTCATAACACAGACCCCAAATTCTCCTATTCAGAAAAATTAGGTTTCTTCCTGACCCCTAAATTATTCAGATAACAGTTTCATCTCACTGTGGCTGGTCATTGTGAAGCAAATATGAAGCAGCTGATGTCAAGCCAGCTGGTTTAGATGACCTTTGACCCCCCAAAAGTCTGAGAAACTCCATTTCTCTCTTTTCATAGGTTCCTAAGAGAAGAGACCTTAAGAAGCCTGTGCTTTTTTCTCTCCTAAACTATGACTGTATACTGAGGAAGATGGCCCTACTTTCAGGGTCTGACAATCCTCCCTTTCAGTTCTACACAGGTTCAGGTTTCTTCTTGTGCATATGGTTGATCGAGGAATGAAGATAGTGCTGAGCACGCTTGCCTGGCATGCATGTGGCTGGGGTTCGATCCACATACAAACAAAAATGTTGTGTCCACCGAAAACTAAAAAATAAATATTAAAAAAAAAGATAGTGCTGAAAGCCACTTTCCAATGCAATAGTCTGTTTATCAGATGAGGGTCAGGATATCATATCCGCCTAGAAGACTAAGGTTTCGGACTTTTTGTGTTTCAAGTGCAGTAACATCCCAACTAGCCAAGAAAAAGAGATAGCTTTGTAAATCTAATATCCCCGATCCCATGTCTCCAACCAGTGTCTTTTATAGGTCAGTTTTGGCAGAGTTATATGGTTCCTAGCTACCTATTCGTTGGTCAATCTGAGCATGAAATTCAATTTTTTCTCCAATGAGTAAGAAGAAGTAATTTGAAGACAGCTATCAGCTGACTCTCAGATAATCTGGGAATCCAGGAACTGTAAAGCAAGCAGGGTTAGTATTATTATATCATTCGAGAAACAAGGGTTCTAGGAAGAGCATGTCATCTTGTTCTTGTCTTTGTTATCTTTTTTTTATTAGAAAAGATGGCTGTTTACCCAATTTCAGAAGCCCACTCAGTAATGCAGAGCTTGGTAGATGTACGAGCCCATGCACTCGAAATGGCAAATGCCAAGTTGTATTATGCAAGAAAATGGTGAACATTTGGGAAAGACTTTGAGGTACATATGTTTTAAGCAGAAATAAAACTGCAAAGTCTCAAGGAATCTCTTCAATTTCAGCACTTTCTATATTCTCAAACCTGCCCAATCCAACCACCTGACACTCCTTTCATGTTAAGACTGGTTATTGCCTCTCTGCATGCACCATTCCTTTGGAATCTGACCCTTCATGCTACCTCTTGGTTTGGAAAGTCATTTCACGTAAATTGTTGTATTCATACCAACGCCTACTCCTAACGAGGCTCTACCCCTGGAAATGAAGGTCATCTCTGCCTCATTCCTAGAACCCAGTGCCTGTCCCTGACTGGATGGGTCAAAGTCTTTATTGCTCTTAAATTTTCTGTATTTTAGGAAAGATATGTGATTTTTATCCAAAATGTCATTTCTTATTAATTGATAGAGGCTACTTCAGCTTTTAGGTTAAGAAAGACTCTTGAGATCTTGTTGGGAAAGGATAGCACAGCAATAAACTGCACCTACCACTGTCACTGGAGAAAGAAACAGAAGAATGCCAACTCTCTTCTGTACCACCAAATCCTATACTTTTTAAGTCATTTCGTCAAACACACACGCATCATTTTAAGAGTTATTTTAGTTATGTCTCCTTACATCTGGCAGTTGCCATGTGATCGAGTCAGTTTTATCCTTATAGTAAATGCCTGGTATTGCTCAGACACTGAAAATGAGATTAGCAGATTTACATCACAACAAGACAAGAATAACCTGACAAATTATAAAACATTAATACATACACTTACATGTCTTAACCAGACTGCCTCCAAAGGTCCTGAATAAAGACTGAGATATTTTGATGAACTGGAAAGGGAAAGTAGAAGGCATAAAGCATGGGTCAGGTCTGTAGGGTCGAGCCTAGTGGAATGGGCAGTCGTCGACAGACCCGACTTAGAGAATCCAAGGAGATCCTGAAAAAAAGAAAGGGACTTAGAAAGGAAAAGACACCAAAATCAAATCTTCTTATTTCAGGGCTTCTGAGAGTAGATGCTGACTATAGGGAACATCTTGTGAATGAGATGGTGTTAGATTCTGTCCCAAAATGGGTAGCCCTGGAACTGAAATTCAGAAAGAGAAAAATCACATGAATTGAAGCTTCCGTGGTCTATCTTTAAACAGAATTTGGAGGGGGGGGGGCATCTATTTAAAACAAGCATTTAGAAAAGCATCCTTTTCCTGGCATCATTATTATGTGCCTCATGTTGGCAGGAAGACTTCATTTCCAGTGATATTTTCCAATTGTTAAAATAAAAAAAGTTCCTGCCACTTTCTTTGCAATCCATAATTTTATATTTTTAATTTAGATAACTCAAGTGTCTCAGAAATAAGCTGCATATTCATGAGCCCTGATTTGTTGTAATCATTATATCTGAGGCTGTGCCTCAGTGAAGACTCCAAGTTTTTAAATACTATTCTCAGGCAATTACATCAGTGAGCTTGGAGCTGAGGCTGTCGGGGGACCCCACTTCTTTATTCTCTCTTTGAAGGACTCTGTTGGTTTGTCTGGGGTCATCTTTCCTTGCTCCTAAACAGGGCTGATAATTAGTTGCTTCAACACTGACAGGAGGGACATATTAACTAGAGAACTGTTCACCTAATCAGTTAGCCTTAGGTCATAAATAACGAAGTGAAAACCAAAGGAAAAAAGGGAAATATTAAAATAGGCTGAGCAAAATATAAAGAATTGACAATGTGTACCACCAATGTCTTGCGTATGTAACAATTGTGGATGCAGGAATTTTGAAAAGTAAAACAGAGACAAAGGGTAAGAAATAAAATGAAGGAATTAAAAAGACATCTAGAAATCATGTACCTTCCTGTCTAGAACTTGGTTTCTCTTTAGAAACAGCCCAGGTGTTTGAGTCTAAGTAAAGGGAGTTCAAATGTCAACTCTGCTATTTACCAGCCTAAGAACAAGTTCCTTCACCTCTTGATGTTTTGCTTTCTTCATCAGGATTGATACCTTATCTGTAAAAGGGGACAATCATACCTCCCTCTGAAGAACTGCTGGGAGACTTGAGTGAGATGGCAGTAAATTCCCTAGCATCAATAGTATAGCATTGTCAGCATAGCACAAAATATACACTCAGCGAATGTCGAGTGATATTTTATTTTTTTGCTTGATTTTATTTTTTTCTGCTTGATTTTATTTTTTCCCTTCTGACCAAACAATTTTTTTTGTTTTTAAAGACATCACAGCTCCTCCTTAGCAACTATTCCAAACAATAACAAGGATCTCATTTTAGGTAGTTCTTCTAGAAAGATTATACCAGAAGAGATCTCTAAGAGTCATCTATTGATTTGTCTGCAATGGGGTTTTCCTTAGATATTGTGGAAGGAGTACAAACCAGGCTGCATAGTCCAACTTTATCACTTACCAGAGAGATGACACTGGGATCTCTGACCCTCACTTACTTCATCTGTATAATGGGGGTAAAGTAATACCTTCATCACACCATACTTTATAGAATTTAAAGAGAGAAATTACATAACGTGTTTACCACCATTGTTGGACAGAGTACCAGATCAACAAATGATATGTATTTTTGTAGTATCTATTCTAATGGTCCTATTTCCACTCAAGAAAATGCCAGCAAGAAGAAACAAAGTACATCTGGGAAATTTGTACTTCCTTTTTGCAATTATTTGAGAGCGGCTGTGCGGTTACATCATTCAGTTCCAGAATCAGTTTGAATCAACAGCTGGGCTCCACACAAAACCTTCATTTTTCAGAGGATGTGGTTGAAGCCCAGAAAGTTAAAGCCCCTTTTAGAGGTCACATACATGAGAAAATCAGATTGTTAAAACCATGGGATTAGAAGGGAGATCAGTAGTGTGGAGGAAAGGAATCAGAGGGAGGGAGGAGAAAAGGGAAAGCGGAAACACTGGAGAATGATATTTGCCAAATTATACTGTTCTATTGTGTGCATGTACAAATACGTACCAACAAATCCCAATATTATATACAGCTGTAATTCACCAATTAAAAAATGTTGGGGGAAAAAAAGAGCAACCATGAAATCAAACATACTTGTATGTCTAAAGATCCAATCATCTATATAGTTTTTAAAATATTTTTTTCTATTTATTTAGGTAAATTCAATTTGGAGACATATTATCAGCATACATAAAGCTAGCATATATTTATCCATTGATTTGTAGAATTAATCTCTACTAAAGAAATAGCAACTTTTTCTGATGTTGAGGACAAATACTTAATGTTCTTTGCACATCCCAATGAGTATTTGTTAAATAAATAATAGAGAATGGTAAAGTTTTTGGTTCCCTTGTTTTCCCTGTCTCCAACCTCACTCATCTTTCCCACCTCTGAACATTTGCACCTGCTCATTCTCCACAACCACTAGACTGCTCTTCCCTATATGTCTACTGCCTGGCTCATTCTCATCCTCAGTTCTTAGTTTATGGTCTACTTCCTCATCAAGGATGTCCCTGAGGATCTCTGCAAACTTCAAATACTCAGGGCTCTGGAATGGATTTTTGATCGAGCACTAGGAATATGTTATCTTACTACTCATCTTCTTAGAATTACTTTAAAAATTACTTTTAATTACTTAAAATATTAATCATTCAATAAAGTTTACTCCAAGGAGCAAGTTCAACACCTTCATAGATTTAAGGACTTCACTCCCTGACCTCTACATATACTAGACAGCAATTAATGCCCCTGAAATCAAGATTAGTAATCACCATCATCATCATCATCATCACAAGGTTAGTTGCTTTTGGGGGGATTTTTAAAAATTTCTTTTGAAAATTGCTATTCAAAACATCAGCATTTATGCCTCGGCTTTCTTCTTGTATCGTTGCAGAGAGAGAGAGCAGGTCGATTCCCAAGACAATGATTAAAATGGCATTTCCCTTAATCTTTGTAGATAAGTGAATCAGAACTGACAGGTCATTTCAGCAGTACAGTACCAAGGTGACAATATTGACTGAAAAGCAGATATCTTGCTTATTTTCTGTTGACTTAAGGATGGGACAGACACAAATAGAGTTTGCAGCCTTTGCTTTCAGTCCTTAATCCTGTCACAGTGCTTAACCACCACCATATTGGTCATGTAAAAAGAGACATCAGGCTAAAAATAAAAGCCTCACCAGGCACCATGGTGCACATCTGCAATTACAGGCCGTGCACACCTGTAATCCCAGCAACTCCAGAGGCTTAGACAGGAGGATCCCATGTTTGATGCCAGCCTCAGCAACTTAGTGAGGCTGCAGAAAGTTAGTGAGACCCTGTCTCAAAATTAAGTAAATAAATAAACAAATAAACAAATAAACAAACAAAAGCCTGCCGAGGAAAATTCCAGACTACCACAATGCCAGAATTACTCTTATACCTAGATTACATTCTCTCATGAAATCAATTGTATGAAAATATATCCCTCATTAAATATGATTTATTTGCCATAAAGCTTTATTAACATGTCATGAATTCTGTTTTTTAAGTTATTCAGCTCTATGAAAACTATTTGATTTTTATAAGCAATCATCTGTATATTTAAAATTTTTCACAATGTATGAAAATTAAGACAAAGTTTTCAAGTTAAAAAAGACATAATTTATAATTTAAGGATGATTAAAATTGACAAAAATATCATACTTTGTGGATATTTAATTCAATATTGACTCCTTTTGATTTTCACCTTTTCTCTTGAATTTTTGAGCCAATTTGAAAAAAATATTTTTTGTTCAGATCTTAACACAGCCTTTTAGACAGCATCTAGGCCCTAACCTCTCTGCCACTAGTGCCTATCAGATAAATCAGTCAAACATATGGTTATCCATGCAAAAGGAGGATTTAGAACTGATCACTTTCAATAAACAATTATTCTCTATGGTAAAACTACTGGTGGGTTATCCTGCAAATATGCACTAAATGAAAAGAATATTTTCTTATCTGTACCAAAGCTGCTGGTAAATTATCCTGACAAATTTCACTAAATGAAATAAAAAATAACATTTATGGGGTAGAGAAATGAATGAATAGGAAGGCTCTTTACCCCTTTCAGAGAAAAACCTAAAAATAATGAGATATTTTTCTCAGCCCTGAATTCAGGATCTACCCAAAGTAGGTGCTCAAATTCTTTTACACATGTGAGTTTACATTATAACAAGTGGCCCAGAAAAACATCATCAGATTTTCCCACCTAAACCAAATACTTAGACATCTTTATTTGGTAATAAAAAAGTGACTATGTTAAATATTTCACCCTGAACTTCCATTTCTTTGGTGTTCAACTATTTGAAATCCTCTGATGAAACTCTTTCAAAAGTTGTTATAATTTGTTTCAAAGAAACAGTTTGCATACAAAACAAGTTTTCACAATTATACTGAAAATTTTCTGGTCATCAATATTTTTTAAAGAAAAGTATGTGAGGTGCAAATGAGAAGATGAAATAATCCAGGGCATGATATATCCATATTCTTATTCCCCAACAGTTCAGTATTAGCATTTGGTGTAAATTGAGGCAAACTTTTTAAAGCATGTTGGTGATTAGGTAATTTTCCTCTTCAGCTATCCAATTTTTCTGAAGCTCATCTCTTGAATAGAGTGCATTAATATTAAAGTTTGCAAAATAGCAACCTTGGAAAAAATGTGTGTTCAGACTTTTCTCCTTGCAGAAGTGACTTCATCAGTAGCTGCAGCCATCTGATGCTCAATCAGCAGCATAACAATGATGATAATTAATATTTATTGAGCACTTAAAATATGCCAACACTGTGCCAAGCACTTTACATACCTCATTTAATTTCTACAGCAACACTATGTGACAAATAACATTATCTCTCTTTCATAGATGAGAGAACTGAGTCTCAGAAAACTTCAGTAAATTACATAAAGTCTCAATTCTTCTCAGAAAGATTACAGTGTAATCAGAATTCAAAGTTATGCAATCTGACCCAAAAGCTCACACAGTTCATTTTCTCTTTAGTTTGCTCTAACTGATTATTTTATACAGGAAAATTTCTAAAAGATGAATGATTTTTTTAACCAAACTAACAATTTTAGCATTGTGATTACAAAAATACTACAGTCTAAATTCCCACCAACAGAATGATTATTTCTTACTCTCAATTATTCAAAACAATTCAACAGAACTATAGTGAATATAG